CAGCCGCCGGGCGGCAGGCTCGTGGTCAGCCTGTATTCCGGCTCCTGGATATTCGCTGCAAACCTGGAGGTGAACCTCCTCGTGGTGCTGGAAGGCATGCTGTCAATCCCTGCCTCGCTGTTATTCTTTTGGGCGTTAATCACAACCCCCTCCTCCAAAGACCCATCCTGGTCTTGCTCCCAGGAACGCAACCTGTTCGTGTCCGTGAACACCGTAGAGGCCAAGAGCTCGTCCACGGCGGGGCCCGCCAGGCGGTCGGCAGTGGCCGCCATGTCATCCTCATCCTCCATTATTACCCTTCTCTTCGGGGGAACACCGGTCCGGGAGGTGGGCCGGTAGTGGCGGGTCATCGGGCCCCTGGAGCGGAACCTGGTCGGCTGCTTCCCCGTTGAAGCCAGGCCTTGGGCCCCCGCCACCGCCACGGTCCCCAGGCTGAGCAGCAGGGCCCCGAGCAGCGCGCCGGCGGCGGGGACCATGGGGCTGGACCGTGTGGGGCTGGGAGGGAGGCCAGTGACCGGGCTCCTCCTTTCTCTCCCTCCTCCCTTCGGCTCTCACCCACCCGCCGGGTCGTTAGAACCGAGGCCCGCGGCGGGGCTCCGCTGCGCGCGCCACGCCCCTCCCCCGGGGCCTTCGCCTCCCGAAGCCCCAGGGGCTGAGCTGGAAATCCTCGGGGACCCCCCACCTCTACCGGCAGCGAGAACGCTGCCGACCGACCGATTGTGATGTCAGGGGCGCGGGAAAGAGCAGGGCACTTCGTGGGCGCACAGCTTCAATCTCTCGCAATTTATTGACACTACCCATCTGGATTGACTAAAGAAAGGTTTTGAAAACACTCCTTCCCAGGCTCACAGGCAGCAGACATGACTAAGAAGGAATAAGCGGCAGACAGCGGTTCACCAGGCTTTGGGGGGGCGAGGGGGATCACCAGGGGGAGGGGCGTGGACCCCTTGCTGGCTCCCACAGGCAGGCTGGCTGTGCTCAGTGAAGCCCTGCTCTTCCCATGGCCCCTCATCGGGCAGGCGCCGACTGCTGGAATACCCCAGGTGGAGAGATCTCAGCCGCTTCCTTTCAGAGGATGCAGATGACTCCTGGAGATGAAGTGACTGCCCCAGGTTCTACAGCTAAAGCAGGAGAAGACCCACAGCTTTGCACTGGCCCATACAAAAGACCACTCCTTGCTGAAATGAAAGTCACCAGCAGATCGGTTCCAGACCTCAAGCTCTGCTTGGAAGGCAAGGCCTGGGGAGGAATGACAGACACACTGAGACATGAAGATCCCGTGGTACTGCGGCTGACGACGAGATGATTTACAAAACAGCTTAGATGTTTCAGGGGTAAAGGTGTAGGCAGGCTGATATCTTTGCTTGGTTCTAAGGCCTTTTATTCCAATCCCAGGCTAGGTCCTTCCTGAGTCATGGAGATCCTGGTCCAGCCTAGGAGAGAGAAGAACAAATAGTACAGGAACAGGACCTGGGTTTTCTTGTTTATTTGGTATATATATATTTAATTTATTTTTGAGAGAGAGAGAGAGAGAGAGGAGAGAGAAACATCAATCAATTGCCTCCTGCACACACCCTGACTGGGGATCAAACCCGAAACCTAGGTATGTGCCCTGGCCAGGAATAAATCCACAACCTTTTGGTGTACAGGATGATGCTCCAATCCACTAAGCCACCAGGCCAGGGCAGAACCTGGGTTTCACTCGCTGGTTTGGGGAGAAAAGCCAGGTGAATGGAAGGTTGGTGATGCTTGCGTTGGTCATCATTTAGGATTCCTTTGCTCCCCAGCACCCCTCCCCAACTGGATAGTCTCTCCAATTTACTACCAACAAACGTCCCTTTCTAATTTCTGAATCTCCTCTAAATTCTGTGCTGTGATTATTCCTTCATTCCTTGTTGCTTCGGCACTCACATGTAGATTGTTTGTGTTGGATACAGTAGAGTCATGTCCTTAACTTTTTCTCTGCATATGTGCATATTTGCCCAGATGCTTCGGAACATCTGAAAGCAGGGCCTCAGGTTTTTAGTTCCTTTGTGTCTCCCCCAAGGCATTAAGAAAACGGATACTGGCCCTAGCTGGTTTGGCTCAGTGCATAGAGCGTCGGACTTCGGGTTGGAGGGTCCCAGGTTCGATTCCAGTCAAGGGCACATGCCCGGGTTGCGGGCTTAATCCCTAGTTGGGGGAGTGCAGGAGGCAGCTGATCAATGATTCTCTCTCATCATTGATGTTTCTATCTCTCCCTCTCCCTTCCTCTCTGAAATCAATAAAAGAAGAAGAAGAAGAAAAAAAGAAAATGGATACTGGCTTTACACATCCCACCCCAAACCACTATCCTTAAGCTCAGGACTCACCGTCTGACAGCTTCTGGGATGTGGACCTGATCCAAGGAGATGAGTTGGCCCAGTTCTCCCAGGTTGTTCAGAAAACGAATTTTTCGTGTGAACTTGGAACTGAAAAGAGGGGATAAACCATATGTGTTGTATACTGTGAAGAGGGCTCCTGGAGACCCTTACAACGGGAAATGGAACAGGGGGAGAGTGGTTAAAAGACAGGAAAGAGTCAGGATGGGGCCAGTTCTTCTTGATTTTGAAAATGGGAAAGAAGTGGGGAGCATCTGAGATCTTGTTCTAGAGCTTACGTTATCAATTTGGTTCAAATAAACTCATTTAAAAAAAAATGGGAAGAAGGGGAAGGTAGGGGGTCCTTGTCCCCAGAGCTCATACCTGATGAAGGGCCGAAGCAGTGCCAGGCATGCCTTCATATACCACGTGGCATGGACAACCACCAGGGCACGCAGGTTTTTCCTTAGCCTGAAGAAGAATAGGAGATCATCCTATTTCTTCTTCCATCTTTATACCTGAAGATCAGGTGGAGCTATATTCTTTAACTTTCTTCCCTTTTCTAATTTCTAGATTTTTCTGGCAACTGGGTCTAACTTCCATTCTTTTAATTACAATCTCAGCTCCATCCATCTTATTCAACCCTCCATGCTCCTCATTCTTAGGAAATTCTCCTCTCAGAATCCCTCAGCTTGATCTTTGATGCCCCATTTCCCTCCCGTGTCCTACCCTCCTCATATAAGTCCCTTTGGTACACTTCCCCATCCCTCCATGACCAGGCCTATGTATAAAACTCCAGGTGGAAGAAGACCAGTGAGGAGAAAATAAAGAAGAGGGAAGAAGAAAGAGACAAATGAGCAAATGGAAGATGGGGGAAAGGAACAAAGGAGGGAAAAAGATCTGTGGGTCAGGGAGGAAGGCAGAAGAAGATAATGGATTGGAAAGTGAAATCAATGGCAAGACCACAGGGAAAAGATAGGGTGCCTTCTAAATGCCCGGCAATATGCCACTCTGATTTACTTGATTTTCAGAAATAGCCCGCAGCAAAGGTATTTTGCCATTTTGCAAATAAGGAAACTGAGTCCCAGAAAGGTTAAAAGGTTAAGTGACTTGTTCAAAGCCATAGAGCTGATAAAAACAAAATAATCCATCCCCCCTGCCTTCCCTCCTCCTCTCCACTCCCCCACCACACCCCCGCACACACACAAATCCAAAGTCACATAGCTGGTTGGCAAAGGCAAGATTTGAAACTTGATTTCTGTAATCCCAAGAGAGAACAGAAGACAGGAAAGGCTTGGAAAGGGGTGTAGAGGGACAAAAAAGAGGAAGAACTAAATGGAAGTAGAAAGAATGGAAAGATGGAAAAGGGTAAGGATTGATAAAACAAAACAAGGTAAAATAGGCTCATAGCCCCTTCTTCTGAGGCTCACCGCCGATCCAGAGTCCGGTAACACTGGCGTATCCAGCTCAGAGGTGGAACTTGAGCCCTGCTTGTGCCTCCATTCAAATGAACAAGCAGATAATTTTCTGCTACCAGCAGCTCCAGAGTTCCCACCATATACCTGGAGGGACAAAATTGTCAGGAAAGGTTTATGTTTTGGGCTGTGGGAAATGAGACTCTACAACCAGCTACTGATCAAGAATGGGTTTCTTTCTTACTTTTCCCTCCCTAACCTCCACCCTGGAGCCCTTCAGGCCTTCCATCTCACCTAAATAAGTGTTCCATGACATAGGTATAGTTGGGAATGCTGCTTCTGGGTAGATAACAGGAAGCAAAGAGGATGACAGCATTGAGGCCCTCACCATGGTAACCTGGGAAGGAGAAGGAAAAATTGACAGACCTGGTTAGGTTGAGGGACTCTGAGGATTGTGAACCCAAAAACAAGGTTCCAGCTTCGGCATTTTATTCCAGCAGTCACCGTTCTCACCCCTCCACTTATGCTAGCCATTACCTCCATGAGATAGGACTTTCTTATAGGGCTCAATGACAGTCATGTCCACTCGCTGCTCCCTCTGCCCTGTCCGGAAAACCCTCCAGCGATGGCCGTCTTCTCCAGCCACATCCCACATACAACCCTGGCCCAGCCTTTCAGCTGCCTCACTGGCCCCCAGGCCCTCTGCCTGGGGTAGCTCATCTAAAAGAGAGGGATGGGGAAGGGTCAACAGGGCGGAATACACACCTTCAGTATCTTGTACCTTCCCCAGATGCCTAGAGTTGATTACTCAACTTCTCATTCCTCAGTTTTCCCCCATGACTCTAGCCCTAGTTTGTTCAATACACCCAGACCCTTGCGGGTTTCAATTTCCTGTGACTTATTTTCCTCACAGTGGTCTTGAGGTAACCTTGACTCTGGTAGGTCAATGGCCCTTGACAGTATCAGTTTTTTTCTGGATTTTTTATTTCTTTCTTTCCACACTTCTCCTTGGGTGAGCTCACCTATTCCCATGTTTCAGTTACCACCAATAAGGTGATGACTTCCAAATTTGCCTCTTTAACCCAGGCTTCTCTCTTCACTCCAGACCCATGTCCCTACATGCCTAGACTGGACATCTCCACCTTGTCTGTCTCTGTCATCTCCTAGTCACCAGACACAAAGTGCAACTCAACGACATGCTCCCTCCTCTCTCCCATATTTCCTTTCTTGGTGAATGACCCCCTCTCTCTAGCTTCCTGAGAGAGAAAATTGTACACCGTCCAAGACTCTTTCTTCTCTATCAGCCCTCAAGCCAACTGGACTCCAGATCCTCATTCCTCTACCTCCATTACAGTCTTTCCACTATTACTGTCCTGGTTCAAGTTCTTACCCAGCATTAGGACAAGCCTCCTAACTGGCCTCCCTGCCTTTAGTCTGTTTTCCTCCATTCCACCCTCTACACCACCACTAAAGCAAGCTTTCTGTTCTCCCCTACCTTCTTTACTGAAATGGCAATATACTATACCCACTAATTCTCCAAAATCTTTCCATGACAATAGAAGAGCGGCCTCATTTTAAAAAATAATTGCCTAGTACTTAGTATTCCATTGTATGGATGCACCATAATAGCATTAATATTCTACTGGGGGAGCCCTTAGGTTATTTCCAATCTTTTCAGAGCAATTAAATCTGATCATGTCATTCCCTTGATTAAAAGCATTCAATGACTCCACCCCCCAATTGCCTATCAGATAAAATCTAAATTCCTTAGCATGGTAGCAAGGATCTCCATGATTTGACGTTGCTTATTTAACATAGCACTATTTTTTGTCATTCTCTCTTCACCTCTCAGCCCTTCATATCTGAGTGATATTATATTTTGTTGTTGTTATTTTATTCCTGGCTCTGGGGACAGCTCCTGATGAAAAAAGTGAAAAGGTGTTATTCATAACAAGCCCCTTTCAAAAACATGGGTTTGTATTAATGAGGTGACATTGGAAAGCCCCTAAGGATTGGTAGCTGGTTGCCAGGGGAACCATCCATGTGATTAGAAGGTTGGAACTCTGGGGAGGGGAGAGAGGAGAGAGAGGTCGTGTTAATCACTAATGGTCAGTGAATTAATCAGTCATGTCTACATAACGAAGCCTCCATAGAAAGCCTATCAGAGGGGTATGAAGAGGCTCTGGGTCAGTTAACGCATGGAGGTGCTAGGAGGGTGGTGTGCCTGGAGAGGGCCTGGAAGCTCCACACCCCTGCCCACTCACCTCGTCCTATGCATCTCTTCCTTCTGGCTGTTCCTCTTACAACAAATCTGTAATCCAGTAAGTAAATTGTTTTCCTGAGTGCTAGTGAGCCATTCTAGCAAATTATCGAACCTGAGAAGGGGGCATTGTGTAGCCAGTTGGCCAGAAGCACAGGTGACAACCTGGACATGCCCCTGGTGTCTGAAGTGGGGGGAGGAGCCACAGTCTTGTGGGACTGAGCCCTTAACCTCTGGGGTCTGTGCTAACTCCAGGAAGTTAGTGTCATAACTGAATCTTAGACACTTGTTAGTGTCTGGGGAGTTGGAGAATTGGTTGATATGAGGAAAACTCACACATCTGGTGTCAGAAGTGTTATGAGTAGAGAAAAAAGTTTTCCTTAATATTTAGTCATGCTTAATCCTTTGAGTTCCCAACATGTCATGCTATCGTCCTAGTTGCTTCTCCAACTGCCTGATAAAACAACTGCTCAGAATCACCTCCTCTGTGAGGTCTTAGGCAGAACTGACCTTTTCTTTCTCCCTGTGTACATTGTACCATGTACACAGGCAGGCCATAACCTTTAACTGCACTTATTTGTATATATGTTTATTTCTTACCAAACAGGTAATTCTCTGAGGGTAGGGATCTTATTCATCTTTATAACTCCAATTTTAGCTCAGTGATGGCATGCAACAGTCATCCAATAGTTTTTCTTCATAAACAAAGGACCCTACCCCTCCTCTATTGGACTACTCTCCCATTGGATTTCTAGGTTCTACCTTTCCATCCTCAAGAACCAATTTTGCTGACCTTACCTCTCAGTCCCCACCTTATTAGTTCTAACTTCAGTCCCATTAAATCCATCCTGAGCTTTATCACGGGCCTCTACTTCTACCTGCTTGTCCCTCAGGTTTCTTTCCCACCTTCCCATTCAAATTCATGTCCACTGTCCAGCTTCTCAGAGTCTGAAGGTGTCTCCAATTCGTCTATTTCCAGGTCAGTACTGTCATCAGGAGAGGAAGGTACAGAGTGGATGGGAGAAACACCATTATCTCCAGGCCCCTTCGTCAAATTCAGTCGTAACTCTGGGGCAGAAAGACGTTTACGCATGCGGCGCTGGCCACACAGGGCTAAAGTGCTGGGGGTACCTGGGTAGGGGTAGGGGGACAAAAAAATAGAAAGATGCGTGTGTGTTGGTTAGGATTCCTTGTATGTGGAAATGATAATATGGGGTGAATTCTAAAGGACTAACACAGGGGACAGTTGGGAAAAGGGAAGTAGAACTGCAAAGGGATGAGGGCGGCATAACCCTCCACTGGATTAGAATCAAGAACTTGAGGCCTAGGTCCTAACTGACTTACCTGCCTGTGAGTCCCTTTTAGGATCGTCGGGGTCTTCAGAAGAGTCAGACTCTTCAGGAAGCAATCTGGAGGGGGAAAAAGATTAAAAGGGGGAAGAAACGTAGGCTAAAGGCACCAAGCCAGGTATCAATTCTCTCTCCTTGCCATGAGTTTACACCTCTGCTTTCCTACTCCCACCTCTTCAAGTTCAAATTTGCCACCCTTGCCCTCCATTTGTGACCATCACTTCCGTCTCCCAACCTCCCTCTCACCTCCTCACCTGGGGAACTCTTCGTCCTGCCATTCCTCCTTCAGCTCCAGTTCTCCAAGTCTCACGGAGGCTCCTAGTCCTGCTGCTTCTGCATTCTCCCTGACCCTAAGATCGTCCCCCGGCCCCCGGAAGAAAAGATGATCATGAGACAAATTAGGTAATGTCTTGAGGGAACTGGATTATACGTAGGAGACACAGGAATGAAGAATAGTAATTAAGGGGCAGAGCAGAGAACAGGCCTTGAAAATAACTTGTCTGGTAGATGTTTCTACCATCTTGAGCACTTGCTGGAAACAGGTCACCCCTACTGCTTGGGCTTAGGAGCAGGGGAAGGGGAGATGTAAAGCTCATCATATTTACCTCTATGGCAGCTGCTCCACCTACACAGTAGGGGTGAGAGGTATTCCACATGACCATTGGCTGGAAGCCGACAGACCTGCCCAGCTGTCACTTGGCAAAGTCCAGGAAGATGGCACCTAGGCAGGCCTGCCTTTCCTCCACCTGCTGGGGAGTGGTCAGGGGAAACCAGGTCTAGGTGGAGGGGAGAGGAAGAAGGTGAGGAGGAAGAGATCTGCTGGGGAGAGCCTGGACCCAAACTTAGTTCTGGGTCAGCTTTCCTGACAGCCGTTCTGGAGTATGGGGGTGAGAAAACAGAGAATAGGGGCATATTTATCAGACACAAAATATAGGAACTTCCTTTACAAAAACACACACTAGGGAATTACCCTGGACTCCTTATTCACCAGTTCCCATACCATACCAACATTTCCTACCTAAAGCCACCCCATCCCTTCTCTGTAAATTAATTCCTACAGCTTTTTTTTTTTTTAGGTTGTAAAAGTAAAAATTTTTATTTTGATTGATTTCTCAATAATTCCTACAGCTTTATCGCCTCTAGGAACCCAAGATTAGACGTGGTGAGAGTTGGATGGTGGGGAAAGTCCCAAGAGTATTCACTTTTTTGTTTCCAACCAAGTTAGCTAAGGTGTTACTTACCCCAGAGCCAATGTCTTTTCTCCTGCCTCTTGTGTAGTTCCCATCTTCACAAATGTGCCCCCTTCTTTAAACACCTGGAGTCCTCAGGGAATTGGTCGCCCCAGCTCTCCAACAATTCTCTACCCTTTCTCTGCCTCAGCTGTTGTTGTCTTGCCTCTAAGGAGGAAGGTGTGGAAGGGAGGTAACCTCACTCTCAAACAGGTTTTGCCACCTCCCTTCTCAATGAGCAGGTTTGCCCAAAAGAAAAACCATGCCTATGTGGGGGCGGACTTTGGGGGAGGAGAGTACCTTTTCTTTTCTTTTTTAAATTGATGTTTTTAGAGAGAGGAATGGGGGAGAGAGAGAAACATCGATTGGTTGCCTCCAGTATGCGCCCCAACTGGAGATTGAACCTGCAACCTAGGTATGTGCCCTGACTGGGAATCGAACCCACCACCTTTTGGTGTATAGAA